TATGAAAAAAAAATACATTTTGTAAATTAACTATATTCTATTTTCTATTGTACATTGTATATTTATCCCTATGTTATCTAGAGATAAACTGCTGTCAGGACATTTATATATATATATATATATATATATTTTAGAGTACTATTACTTTTGGACAATCCTGTGGTTTATAAGTGATAACAGTATACACATTGCAGATAAAGTTAACATTTTCCTTACAAAAATGTATTTCAGATATATACTCACCTCTACACAGAACTGATAGCTATTACCTCATACCATTGCCAAAAATATTTTTGAACATGCACCACACCTTGAACAAAGCTCCTACCCCTACACATATTGTTTACTGCACCAGTCTATGATGCAATCAACATTAGACTATAGTCCAACAACAGGGGGGCAACATATATTCCATGCAAAATACTCCCCTTAAGCACACTGTGTATATCAAAGATTCATTCTTGACAAGGCAAAAGAGACACAGTGGAAATGGGGAGGAATGGGGGATGGTTCTGTGAGTAAGTGAGTATCCATTTGAAATAAATTTTTAGGTAAGGAAAATGTTATCTTTAGAAATGCTACTCACCTCTCCACAGAAGCAAAAGCTAGCATCACACATTGATAAGATGATGGAGGGAAAATTGTAAGTAAAGGAAATTAAAAAGATAAGCTCCTTTTTGAGAATTTAATGTAAAAAAAAAGGTAAAACTCAGAGTGTGCCACCCACTGGAAGTTGAGTGGGGGGGCTAATGGTGCATCACACAGTGGCAGACTGTATCTGTCTCATTCAGGAAATACTCTTCATCCAAGACAGGTGTTAGAGCAAATGGCACTGTTAAAGGAATCTCCTGTGGTGCCCTAAAGTGTTGCAAAGGTGGGCAGAATGTAAAGACTGATCAACTGGCCTCTATATATCAAAGAATTGGCAATACATCAAGCCATACAGTGTGTGAGAAATACTTACCAGAATAGGCAGGTGCAGGAATGAATCATCCCAGGCCCATATCTAGAAGAGAAAGCAAGACCAACAGGCTGGCATAGCCACCGGGATGTTTGGTTCTTAGCATAGGGGTTGTGCAAGCCTTTAAAAATTTGTTTTTTAAACATGTGCTTTCTAAAACTGTGTTTTCAGCCATAAAACCTATTTTTTTAACATTCTGTATCAAAATAGTTAATTTCCAATGCAACCTTATGATTAACTAACTTAATATGCAAACAATTATGCATCATCTACAGGGCCTAATGCCTAACATCTAAACACCATGCACCTGCACAATGATGTACGGGATATCAGATTTCTCTAAAGCTATACACTAAACTTGAGTTGTTGAACTTTAAAAACAACAAAATATTTATTCGCTTATCAATCACCTGTTGCAACAACACTGTAGACACTTTTCCAGATGTTTTATTCTAGACAATTAATTGTTTTATATATTCATAAGTGTTTATAACAATGTTGAAGCCTTAAGTATCATATCTATAACTACGCAGTTACTCAAATGCTCTGTAAATAACCAAAAAAAAAAAACAATCAATACACACTTTACTTATTAAGCAAACATACGTAGCCAAAGTAAAAACCTAGTATTTTATATTTTCTTCGAGTAGCCTAAAATTAAAGTCAAACAACATACAAATTAGAATAACATCAATTTATTTTGTAAAATAAAACTTCTGATAATTATTACTTACCTTAAAGTTTGAAAACCATTACAGAATAAATAAGAAGAAAACTAGAAAGTCTATCCAGATAATATAGTACTACTGTGTTAACAACACTAATTTCTACATGTTAGCCACTGTAATGTTTTATTTTAAACACGATGGTAAGATAACATTAAATTTCATTAAAGTTATCTGTATAACATAGTAACCAAATGTTTAGTATTTTTCACATGAAAGAATAGAAACTTCCAATATAATATAGTATTTTGGACTAATCAATGTTGACCGTATAGTCCTACAGTAACCTAAATAAGTCAAAGTTAAAATAATGTTAATATATTCTGTGATATAAAAGTTTTATTATTAATGCTTAAAAAGTTTGAAACCTGATCAGAAATAAGTACTAAGAAAACCCAGAGTCTAATCAGGTAAAATTAACTTTATTGTGGTAACAACAGTTTACATTTACAATTGGAAGTATGGCCTAATGAAAGGCTAATTCACTCCTTGTTATTCAATTTCTATTACTTTTGGCTTTACTCATCTAGAGCTTTTTTTTCTTTTAAGAGGATGGTGGAATATTTTTCATGTTGCGTTAAATAAAAAAAGCTTGGTAATTTGAACCAATAGTATTTCAGAAACCTATATTTCAGAAACACGCTGTTATTTATTAGTGTTTAATTAAAACCAGAGGAAAGACTAATGCTTCATGTACCGTGTATGCATTAAAAGTATCTGACACACACACACACATATAGTGCAGAAAATTATTTCCTTGCTGAAGATTCTATTAGAACATTAATACATCTACATTTGAACACATATGAAGAGACAAAAAAAAGGCATTAAAAACACAGTACTAACTTTAGAGAGTTTAACAGATTGCGTAGTTCAATGTTTTGTTGTTTTAAAACATCCAGTTCCTCTACAGCACGAGTGAGACGTGTAAAAACTTGTTCATCAGGTTCTGTGTTGTAAAACAGAGGTCCACTAATGACAATAATGATAACAAGCCAGACTAACAGCAAACCAAGAATGGCCTTACCAATACTGATTCCCATTCTCACATATGGAACCTATTTAAAAAAAGCAAGAACATTAAACAATACTTCAAAAGGCTCTAAGAAACAGTGTATTTGGTAGAACCGGATATCTCTTTAAACTATATAAATCCAAGTAATTAAAATACATATACAGATGTAAATACTATCCCAGTACAAAGTAAAATTTGATATGATGTGGTGGAACGCATTAAAACCATTCCATTAACATCAGAAAATTTTTTCCTTCTTTTTTTTGATATTATGACAATATGTATATATAAATGCTTATGCATAGAGTTAACTTGAGAAACAACTGCATAATGTATCGGATAAACCTCAGTGATAACTGAAAAATGTGAAAAAGTTTATGAAATCAGACAATCAAGCCTGTTGTAGCAAGTATGCTGCACAGTATAGTCTTAACAGCTTGAAAGTTTCCACAATATACTCTTTCAAAGAGTGACAGTTTGAAGTTTGCAAAAGAGTAATAATCCAATAACATTTTCCATTTTCTTTTTTGTTTTTTTACATTTGTACACTTTTCCAAATGTACTGATCAAATACACTAAAAACTCCAGTGTTAGAAGTGCACAAAAGTTTACTAAAAATGGCACCAGGTTCACTGGGCAATTACATGTTTAGGTGGTACTACCCCACTATCATTGGGAAAGTTGTCTAACCTGGTGTTTTTAGTTTATTTTATTAATACAGTTGGGAAAGATACATGAATAGTAAGAAAAAGAAAATGAACAACTCCCATGATGATAGTGTGGCATTACTGCCTAAATTTGTAGAATTATCCAAAGAGCCTGGTGCCATTGTTAATAAACTAATGATCAATTTTTAACTGTATTGTTTGTAGCTTGTTTAAAGCATTTTTAGTTTATTTAATTTATTGACATATACTTTACCATCCTTGTATTAATCACTTATGAAAATCAATCAAAATCCAAATGCACTGGACTTTTCATGTTCATATGTGATGCATCAAGTTGGTAAACCAACCAAAAATGTGTGTATTTACTAGTACTACACTTACTTTAGATATAATACACAAATATTCGAAACTGTAGCAGTATCTCTATAAATCAAACAATTCAAAACTGATGTACTCTATTCTAAAAACATAAACTCTTCAAATCAAGCACCTATGATGAAAGAAATTATTTCTAGTGGCAATCTTAGTTTGAATTTATAAATACACATATAAGTAATTAGCTTTAAAACTACTAATATTTAATTTATAAACTTTCTTCATATCCATAATACTTTTATTTATTACATGAACTTTCAATAGACTTTCACACAAGTATATATTTTTCAAAATCCAAAGTAATTTATAGTATCTTATACTTTTAACCTACATGGAGCTAAAACTATTTCATATGCATGTTTCTCTAATGTGACAATTCATTAAACTCCTAAAGAGTGTATTGATAATAGTTTCATATCTTTAACAGTCATATCCTTTTACAATTTGAAATGTTATAAAAGTACTAAACATCATATGATGAAAGCTTACATGGATCTCTTCAAATGTGCTCCTTGCTCATTTGTATCTGTCTAGTAACTCATTAATAGTTTCATGTAATTGATAAATAGGTCAAGGCTAGAACACACACACATGCACCCACACTATATACATATATAGTTAATACAAGAAGTACTTTTATTTGTTTAAGACACACATGCACCCACACTATATACATATAGAGTTAATACAAGAAGTACTTTTATTTGTTTAAGACACACATGCACCCACACTATATACATATATAGTTAATACAAGAAGTACTTTTATTTGTTTAAGTCAAAAATGATATTGTCTTTGAATAAATCTCAATGAACTGACTGACAATTTTTCAACATTTTAATGTAAAATCCTTAATAACTTGATAATCATGACAGAAAAACATTATATAAAATAATATCAGGTTTAAAAGTTTTCATACAAATTATAGTTAAATCTAGAATAAAAGAATTATCCATCAGTTTTTTAAATTGTTATTTCTATACAGTTACTAACTAAGATTAAGTCAAAGTCAATCATCCTTTAAGTTCTTAAAATATCTATTACGTTCTAGTGACAGCATGGACTAATTTAATAGCAACTTGATTCTTTTCATAACCAATTCTGATTTCCCTAAAACCAAAATGAACTGCAAAATTACTATCTGCTTAAACCTCTGTTTTGGTTTGGTTTAAGTTTCTTGCAAAGCTACAGCGAGAGTCTAGAGGGAACGCAGCTAGTCATCACCACCCACCACCAACTCTTGGACTACTCTTACCAATGAATTGTGGGATTGACTGTCACAATATAATGCCTCCACAGCTGAAAAGGCAAGCATGTTTGGTGGGACAGGGATTCAAACCCACGACCCTTGGATTGCGAGTCAAGCTCCCTAACCACCTGGCCTGCATAAACTTGACATACACACACACATAAACAAGATCTTTCGCACCTAACACACCCATCTCACTACTGACAACACTTGTAAGGATTTGACAGAAACTTTGAGACATAATAATAAGATACATTTACCTGTCTCACAACCACAGTGTAAAAGATTTTAATACACATACACACACACCGTGTCTTAAGAATAACATAACACTTTCTCACATGTACACATGGGTAGATTATCATCAAAACATACCTACAAGTCAATAAACCACTATATAAAGAAATCTTGGTCCACAAAACTAAACAAGAATCTCAGTAGTAATACATGTTTCCGTGATTTACCTATCATTTATAGAAATCTAGTATGCCTAATGAGAGAAAAACTCTGTACTAATGTACTTGTCTCGCATTCTTTATAGTAAACCAGCTTGTATCAAGTATGCTGTACAGTATAGTCTTATCAGCTTGAAAGTTTACACAATATACACTTTCAAAGAGTGACAGTTTGAAGTTTGCAAAACTAATAATCCTATAGCATTTTCCATTACTAATTACCTTTCTCACAATTCTTGTTCTTAGAAATCAAAAGGGCTGAGAAGCAAGAGTATCTCAATACTAAAGTAAAGGAATCCAATTTTAGTTTCACATTTTACAATAATAGTCAAATTATATGCATTATCCTTCCTTGAAAATGCACTACAGCAAAACTCAACCTATAGTGAAGGTTAAATCTGGTTTTTGGCTTGTTTTATAACTTAATACTTATTAATGATCAGAGTGTACACAAGTTTAGTAAAAATGGCTTTAAAACGTACTTCCTAAAACGTCTAGTAGAAGCTTTTTTATAGCTCGTTATTTTAACATCATTCTAATTACTTTGACTGAAAAAAACAATAATTCAGATCTGATCCTTCATTATTCAAATTCACAGCATGATCCATATAACCATGACTTATTATAATTATAGCTTATAAGCAGATTGCATATCTCAGAAATATTTACAATTGATTAATATAAAGCGAGTTTGTTTCATCCTTTACGAAAGCACAACCTTTCATTGAGATATAATTAAAACCACACCTTTCATACAATTACCAGCAAAGCAAAACAAAGAAAATCTAACCATAGTTATTCTTTCATAACAATTAACATAATTTTCTTCATTTTAATACAATCTTATTTTTAATACCCAGATGGCCCAATCATGGGTGGCTTTGCGACTTGTGTTTACATTTTAGAGAACAATTTGAGAATTTGGTTTTTTGATTTTCAATTTCTTCCTAAGATAATTTACACAACTCTATTGTAAGTAGATAATAATAACGGCTTGTACTTTATAAGTTATTAAATATTGGATTAACTAATGAGGTTACCGTTTTAGCTAGGCCTATTGTTATTAATATTAGTATTAATAATATTAATCACTGAGCCGGTGTTTAGAGTTAACTTAGGCAAACAAAAATTAACTATAAACAATAAATTTTACATCAAAGTGACAACTTACCTTACGAAGTAGATCAAAATATCATAACCAAAAGAGTACGTTTCGAGATAAACCTGAAAATAATAACTCTACTAATAATAATAGTATTAGTAGTAGTACTAAGAATAAATCATTGACAGAACGTTATTTAACTAGTGTATAAATAACAATTCTGTGCACCACTATATTTAGCAGAAGTTTAAAATAACCACTAGGGTAAATAAAAATTCCCTTTAATCGTTTTAGTAGTAATCTCACGGAAACAACTTGTCATTAGCCTAAACTTTTTACTCACTTTTGAACCACATATCAGGAATAATCAACAGCATAATTACGTGAAAACAATAGCACATTTTTAGTTATATTTTTTCACAAAAGAATCAAGACAAAAATAGGATTAACATTATAATTTTTACACACGTTGTGCGTCTACACTATAAACATGAAAACTGAAATAGTCAACCATAAATATAAAATAATCGAATTAATTCACGATATATTTCTTTATAATAAACGATCCACAACACTATCGTATGTGGTTCTATTCAGTATTATAATGAATGCAAAGCTCTATTAGATGTTATGTTCCGTTTCTGTGACAGTACTTTAAACTCAT